TTATATAAGTCTTTTATCACTAAATCATGTTGTACCTCGCATTGAGAGTTTCTTGGATTTTTTTTTTATCACTTTGCTTTTCAAATAAATGTTAAAATTAACTTCCAAATTCCAAAAGTAACAAGGATTTTGACTGGAAGTACCTTAAATAATTACACCAATTTTAGAAGAACTGACATCTTTATGCTATTTAATATTTCTTATCTATGAACATACTACATCTTTTCACTTAATACCTTTAAATAAGAGTCTGAAAGCATTGGATTTCTTCTTAACCCTACAATGCAGCAATTATGTGGTTCTATATATATATTTAATAATTTCTGAAAAAGTTTGTTATACAGAAATGCAATTAATTTTTGTAAACTGAGAAATAAACAATGACCAAAAACCAAAATACACTCTTTTCCACATATTGCTTCTCCATAATGATGATGATTTGCCCATTTCGCATGTCTCAGTCATATTTTAAGAGCATGCAAAATCTTTTTAGTTATAGAAAATAGCTCGTAATCCAGAATTCACTGCTCTCCTGGTTCTATCGTTGGGCCATCTATATATTGTGTACTTATAGAGTTATACATGTGGCATCAAGACACCCTAAATAAAATACTAAGGGAGAAGGAAAGAAAAATCAGTGATTACGTTAAATAGATAAATATGTGAAATATCACAGGAGGAAACATGGGTAACAGGCCAATTTTTCTCAACTCAGTTATCTAAAAACAATTTCATCAAGTGACCAATTCTTAAGAATTACTGAAACTTTATTTGTGTATTTATCAATTTTATAGTAACTTACATTAGTGTAGTTTAACTTGTATTTGAAGATTTCTGAGACTAAGCTGACTGGCTTTCATTGCGTATTTTTTATGACAGCCTTTTAAAGAACACTCAAACAGTCTCTGTTCCACTTGCTGCCCATCCTCCTAAAAAGAGAAAGTGCAAGAGGGAAGAAGGAAAACAAAAACTTAGAGAAGATTGAGCAACAGGGGAATCCAAAGGTCTCAATCCCCCAAGTCAAGACTTAACCACATATCTCTTAAGCCGGCTAGTGAATCCAAATAAAATTGCTTTAACTTTACACTAAAAATGAACCATTTAATAGAGTCATCTCAGTGTCCACAGGCAGAGGCATTCCTCCTTTGAATATTACAACTTTTAAAAACAAAAAACCAAAAATCCAATAAACTCAACAGAGTGAGCCCTGAGATGCAAGGATGGAAAGTGAAGGTTGTTCCAGTCGGTGATCAAGCCCCGTGGCAGAGGGACCCCTCCATTTCCGCCTCTCTGTTGTCTAACCAATGTGTTTGGCAATGGCAGAGAGTATGGCTCTTCTTTGTCACTATTCAGTACCTACACAGTATCTAGCTGAACAGGACTCCAATAACTTGCCAAACTCCTAGATGCCGCTTTCACGGAGTCTCCCGGGAACTGATAAGGCCGCAGCTCATGAAGGCTGGGCTACACGTGAAGACTAGGTAGCCCCGTGGCCGTCTTTGCGCTGCCTTAGCTTTTCTCTATGATGTACTGAAATAGGTCAAAATCGTGTTGTGAGATAGGAGGTATAAAGTATCCAGTAAATTCGGGGCACCTGGGTGGCTCAGTCGTTAAGCGTCTGCCTTCGGCTCAGGTCATGATCCCAGGTTCCTGGGATAGAGCCCCGGATCGGGCTCCCTGCTCAGTGGGGAGTCTGCTTCTCCCTCTCCCACTCCCTCTGCTTGTATTCCTTCTCTCGCTGTGTCTCTGTCAAATAAATAAATAAAATATTTAAACAAATAATAAAAAAAAATAAAAAAATAAAAAACAAAATTCAACCAAGTAAATTTGAAGATCTAATTGACTTCAT